TCTCCTCAGTGGAACGATACCAGTGCAACACAACAAACCTCACAAGGATGCACTGTGATGTTATACCTTTCCAGAGCCCTCCCACACTGCCCACACTGCATGGCACTCTGAAGTGATCTCCTGCACGTGCTGCTCCCGAAAAGCCCAGGTCAGAGGCACTGTCAGGCTGTGAGCATGAGACAAACAGAGACAGAGCTGTAGTGAGTGCATTATTCATCAATACTTGCTCATTCAGCTTCATCACTTAAGAACAGCTTTAGAAGCAAATACTGTAGAGCATTGCTTCGCTGATGTAGCAGAGTATTTTTTTCTGCAGTATATTGTAAATCTGTGCACGTTTCCACCTCTGTTGTTCTCTCCCTTTCTCTTTTTTCTTAGTGTAATACATTTCCTAAGGTGGATTTTTCTGTGAATTAGATTTTAATGCCTCCTTATAAGAGGCAGTTTTTCATATTTTATATCCCCATCAATAAAGATTTCTTCCTTATCACCAGTAAAATTGGAGCTTTGATTAAATATGATCCAGCAGCACTAAGCACATAGTCTGTATTAATTTCAGTACCTCATTATATGCCAGCGGTATTTATGTGGGTTTATATATCAAATATACCGTGTGTATATAAGCAGAGACTTTCAGAACAAATACCAGTTATATGAACCATAAAAAATAAAATGGAAGAAAGCCTCTCACTGAGACCAGCCACAGGGCATACGCTGCTCCTTCTGTGGAGGTCATGGAGAAAGTGGTTGGAAAAGGAGCTTTTCAGGCAGCAGGAGAGAGAGGGAGCAGCAGCAGCAGTGAGCCAAATGCTCCTGCACCCCAAGGACAAGAAAGTGCAGGAGCCCTGTGGCACTGTGCTCCCTGCAGTCAGTCCTCTGTGCTTCCAGAAAGTCATGAGTGGCAAATATGACAGAGAAATATCCCTAGAAGCCATCTGTCAATTTAACACAAATGGTGCAATGTTACGATGTTGTGCTTAGGTTTGAGGGAATCCTAGTTTTGTGAGCACTACATAATGTGAGGCAGTCCCTGTCAGTGACCAGTAGACCACTGGCACCTCTGTCCCAGAACTCTGCACAGACGTTCTTGTGGGTCTGACTGAATATTCTTTCCTGATGAGAAAATATTGTTTCTTTATCACCAGAGTCCAACTGCACAAACGTTATAAAAAGGTGTATTAGTGGTCCTGGTAAAGTGTGCAGCTCCTTGGTTTGGAGAAATATTCCATGAGAGTACCATGAGAGAGAGAGGGACCAGAGGAGTTGCTCTGTGCCTGGTGTGGGAATACAAGAAAGAATACTCAGAGCAGAAGCTCATTGAGGTGAGCGGGGTCAGAGTGACAGAGCTCTTCCAACACCCACCTGTGGGTCTGGATTAGGGCAAGGATGGGTGGAGTGGAGGTGTGCAGGATTACTGACAACTGCACTTCCTGTAAGGCTCCCAGAGATGCTGCTCATTGGTGCCTGAGCTCCAGAACAGAGCTTGCAGTCACTACATCTCCCTTTTCCTTCCATTTCATCTCCAGGATGCATTGTCTCAGCTGCGCCATCAGACAGCAGCTGTGAGATACCACAGTCAGAGAATAGAGGATGCATTTCCTGCTATTTTCTACTCCCATTAATAATGGAGTTGCTAAATCAGATAAAACTTCTCACAACTGTTTGAAAAAAAGTGCAGCATCCCTGAAAACATGTTAAGATTTACTGTTCCCCATTTTATAACTACCAGTGGGTATAATGGGTTTTCTCTGTGGGGCATTCTGCAATTTTTACTTTCCATGAATCACCTTATGCTAATTCTCATGTTTATAACCAATATATCTGAAGAACAGAAAGGAAAGCAGAAAAATCGACCGCATTTGAAACACATTTATGGCTCAGGTGAAGAGAAATGCACAAATTACAGATTATTTACATCACAGGTTATAAGTGCATGCACAGTAATGAAAATTTTCCTTATCTGAGTTTTTATATTCAGGATCTTTTTATTTCTCCGTTTGCCATTATCAGAGAAGAGCAGAAAACAAGTGACTTCCAGCAGTCCTTGAACCGTCTCTCTGAGACATCTCTGCGTTGCTTCTTTAAAACGTAAGGTGGAGGCACGGCACAGCCTCGGCGCTGCTCCTCCACGTCTCCAGGAGCACAGCCTGCAGACAGCCGGGTGCAGAAACCACGAGGCCGTACGGAAGTCTGCTCGGCGTGGGAACTGCCGTAAATCCGTCCCAGAGATAAGAGCTCACAGTGGCTGCAGAGTTGCTAGGGCTACCACTGCCGTGGATTTTTTTTCCTGCTTTCCAGCGGATGCAGCTCTGCTGTGGTGGGATTGGAGCCGGGTTGCACACTGCAGCCAGAGAGCCGAGGGAACGCTCCCTCCCTCGGCAGTTCCCACTGCGGAACTCACTCAGGTGCTACCGCTGTCCCCGCTGCCTTCGGCCCGGACAAGGGTCGGCTGCCCCGCAGTGCCGCGGGCCGGGCTGCAGACCCCCCTCTGGAGACGCACCGGGCAGCCCTCCGGGCCGCCACGGCAAAGGCGGCTCTATCCGCTCCGTTCTGTGTTTTTGGCCGCTCACTCCCCGCGGACGGCTGCCTCCCTCTTCTCGTCCTCCCTGGACGCTCCCGAGCTCAGAGCCGCGGGCGTGCCAGGCGGCGTTCTGCTCAGCCCGAGCCTCCCGGCAGTTCCGCGGCGCTGCTCCGCAGTTACCGGCGCGGTCCCGCAGGTCTCCCGTCCCCTGCAGCGCTGCCGGCCCCATTCCGACACTCGTCCTGCTGGTTTCTCTGCTGCGTGCAACATCGTCAGCTTCTTAACTTTAGATTGTTTAACTTTATATGAATTTGAAAGTGATGCAGGATATAAGATAGAATCATATATGCTAGAAATAAATGGAAAAGCACTGATTTTGGAATGAGTATGCTGGCTTTTAAGACTAGAATGGACAGATTTGACTTCACATGCAATACCTTCTACATTTTCTCTGTTTGCTTTTTCCTATTCCAAATCCCAGACTGTCAGGTATTATACAGAGACAGCCCCTGGAGGCAGCCAATCTACAGTAACTCACACCAAAGGTACACCCTTCAGATCTACTGAAGCAACAGTTAAGCAACTAGTGTTTAAAAGATATTTTATGTCTAGTTGTCCAGAATAAAATTATGGCTTTGAATCCTATAAGATGCTGTCTATGTGTCATTATGTGTCATTAAAAAAGAATAATTTTAAGTAGAAGTAAGATGATATTCCTGTGAGGTTTTTTTACTAAAAATTCTAATCCAATGGCCAAAAGAAAAAGAAAGAGGTCAGGTACGAAATTTTCACTTTATGCCAGGATGTTGCAGAAGAAATCTAAGTAAAAATTATCCCAAGTGAGGGATCAAAGAGGTCTTTTTTTTTTTCTTGAGCTCATGCAAGTTTTGGGACCTGCTTATAATTCTAATATTCTTGCTAATGAAACTGAGCATAATTACGGTGGGGATTGGTTTCAGAGGTACTTTGCATGAATACTAGTTCCTCTTTTTAAATGCCCATGTTGGTTAACTGGACACTCGGCCTCCTTGCAGTGGGCGGATGGATGCTCTGTGCCTGCAGAGAGAAGGGAAGCCCAGGGAGTCCTGCATCCTTGGGTGGGTCTCTGTGGCACACTGCACTCACAGCTGGGACCTGCCAACTCCCAGTCCAATTCCTCTCCAGACAGTCAGTATCATAGTACAAAGATGGTTTAGCAAGGGGATGCATTGGAGGAGTATGGAGAACTGAACTGCTCAGCTCTGGTGGCTCCTGGAGAGCCCACAGCAGAGAGGTGCAAGGACCATCCCCTGCCATCCCAGTGCAGCCCACAGCGAGGTCCTGGCTGAGCCCTGCGGCTGCTGATTGGGCAGTGCTGCACGTGGCCACTTCCAGCTGCAGGCGCTGCGAGGTGGGACCACGAGTGGCAGCACAGGGAGGAGTGTGCAGCAAAAGCATGGGTAAAGAGGAGGTGGCAAATGGTTGTTCTCATGAATGATGCCTGATGGGAGGAAAGGGGAGTTCTGGTGGAACAGGAGGCTGAAGGCCTCCAGCTATCAGAGGGTCCAGGCTGACATGAGGTGACCGGCAGTCTTGCAGATTACAGTGTTGAAGTGTTACATATCTCCACAGCTAATAGCATCAACTGATTTCCCCATGCATTTTTGCTTCTTTTCTGCCTCTTTTTCACATTTCATTTTATGCTTGTGATATATTCCAGGGGGTTGAAATATGGCTCTTCATCAGGTATCTGTGTCAAGGCAAAATTTAACCCCTGGAAAAGATTGATTTAAGAACTTTTGCAAAGATCAATACAGAAGACAATAGTTATTAAAGTAAAAGCTTATGGTTTGCTTTGATGTAATGAAATATCCATAACAAGATATTTTCTTTCTTTCAAATAATTTAATAAAGTTCTCTACTGAGAAAAATAATTAATTGAGCAAAATGTTAATTAAGGAAAATTATTTTTGTCACAGCACAGTTCTTCAGATGAAATAATACTGAAAGAAATGACTGAAGTTTAACTTGATTAAACCAGTGTCAGTGACACACAGTCTCACAGTGTGTGCACTCTGCAAGAGGCTGAACTAAAACTTCACTCAGCGCTGCTGTTACGGATGGCTGCAGTCACTTCTTCGGCCCTTCTGTGCAGTGACAAGCTCAGACATCACTTGCAGAAACTATTTATAAATGGGAAATATGTGTTTATATCCTTATGTTTCCAATTTCACTTGCATTCTTACGTAATTCATTGCAATTTGAATTAGAAATGATTGTCTAGCCCTAGTTCTCATCATCACATCTATGTCAAAGAAAGACTCATAAGCTCTGGTCTTGGCAGCCTGCATACTCAGTGGCTTTTTACCATTAGTAGCCACAGTGAATCACTGTTATTATTCATTACCATTGATACTGAGATCCACATACATAGCAAAAGGAAATTTACACCCTAAGAGCTATTAGCTTCAATCAGAAAAGTAGAAAAGTTTGGATGATGACAACCAGTGGGACACCATGCAGGAAAGGGAGTAGATCTGGTTCAGCAGCACAGCATGGAGTGACAACCATCCAGGTCCTGATGAGAGGAGCATCATCCAATAGTGAAGGATATAGGAAATGAAAGAATGGCCTGGATGTGGCTGTCACTTTTCTCTCTCTCTTTTTTTTTTTTAGGCAATGTCTTACAAAACTACTGGATTTCTGGCAAGATTGGAGGCAAGTTGATGTTTATTCTGTGCTATGTTTTGAATTAGGCACAAATAGAAATTCCTTCTGGCAGCTAAGGGCAGCTGAGCCACCCAAGTTACAGATGATATAGAAGCAGAGACATGTATGTATACAACATTCTTGGTCATACACTACAGCATTGACACACTGAGTGCATAAGAAAGGACAAAAATCAAAAATGCATTTTGTCTGTTATCTCACAAAGTGAAATATGGGAGCACTTAGAAATTTTCAGATAGCATTATTCTGAATTGAAATGAGCTGTTGAACCTCATGGGGTTGAGCCTCTTGGAGCTGCAGTTTAGTAGGCACCTGCTTTCTGCAGCTATTTTCTTGCCATCTTGCACTGCTTTTGTTCTTCCTCAAACACCAGCACACCTCTCTCTGCCTTAGACATTGCAGCAGCTCCCCTGCCTTGGCTCTGACGCTTGCTGTACTGGAACTCCTTTGCAATCTCTTGTGCTCTTTCCAGTGTTTGCAGCCTGGTGGAATTGCCTGGCTGCACATCTGTGTCTGGGGCTGGAGCTGCCTCACACCTGAACCCTCCTGCTGCCAGTTCAGCTGCACCCAATGGCACCATCCTGCTTCTGCCTTCAGTGACAGCTTTAGTGCTTAAAAATAATTCAGCGATTTTGACAGGAATGAGTAATTATTACAAATTATGGCATGCCAACGCATGGACAAATACATCAAATAGTAGCTGAGCAAAAGTAAGTCTCTATAGACAACTTTTCAAGGGCATGTGCACCCCTTTGGGCAGCACAACCACACTCCATTACTTGGACATCTCACTTCAGTGAGTAATTCTGGAGATCAATTCCCAGTTCTCTTACTTCCTGATAGCAGCATCTGCATGAGTAAAGTGTAATGAAAGTGAAATGAACTCTCAGAATAAGATACTTAGCAGAGAGCCAGAGAAGGAGTATTTCTGTGATTTCAGACAAATCCTTCTGTCAGCGCTCTGCTTTTGATCTTTGCATGGAAGGGTGAAGCTTATGCAAGACAAATGCCTATCAAAGTATTGCTTATAAAGCATGCTTTTAGCAGAAGGTGGGACACTGATTAGCTTTGACAACTGAAGCAAGGCGATCTGCACAGCTATGGAATGCATAAAGACGAAAGCGAGGTTTCACATAAGGAATGTTTTGTTAGGAGGGACAGCCATTTGCACAATTAAGCTTGTGCTAATAATCTGTGCTGATGGATAATGGTTAATATTTGGGCAGTTGTTTTTTGTTCCTGCTGTCTTTTTCAGTTAATAGAGCATGATGAGATACACAATAGATGCTTCAACTCTTCTACTCAATGTAATTTGGGGAACAAATAATCATCTGTCAGAAGCATGATGTCTGACTATTGGGGACCATTGAGAAATCCTCATTTACAGCCATGACTGAGATATCTCAGAGCACCTGAGGTCTAAGGGTGCAGAATCAGTTGCTCATGGCCACAACCATGTGTCAGCAAGCAGCAACTCCACAGGGCTGGGAGGAGGCAAGCAGACCCTGAATGCTGAGCTGTGGGGGCAGCAGCCAGTGGAGGGGCTGCTTTACCTGACTCCACAACTGCCTTAACAAAGCCTCATTCACTTCACAGCAAGAACAAGAATGAGCTACAACAAATTCCTCAGGGACAAGTGCAACCTTCTGATACCTGCTTAGTCTTAGGTGGAGTGTCCTGTGCTTTTCAAGCCCAGTACATGTGTGCTCTCATTTATGAATGCTTGAAACTGTTCTAGGAACCATGAGTTAGTATCAGTGCTATATTACATTTCTTGTTGACTATTATTTCCTTTTGTCCAATTCATTCTCTTGTCTAGCAGCTAGAAATGCCAAAGAGTAGTGTTTATTGCTGTAAGAACTAATAAATTTTCCAGCAGAAAACAGATTTGAACTTTAAAGAACATGACTGATTCACAGTGTATCAAGCTGTTTCCATTTGTCTATAATAAAAAGTATGTGTTCATGTCCTTGCACTTCTGTAGGTCACAGACATAAGCAAAATCATGTGATTTTCAATTCATTTCCACATCAGATCGTTCTGACCACAGACACAATTCGCATTTTTAATCAAATGCTCTCGCCCCGTGCTATTCTGTTTCTGTGGAAGTGTGAGTGCAGGTACCATCATCTCCTGCATGGCTGCATTGGGCCGGTTCCTTCACGAACATTGCTGACAGGCACTTGGAGACTCACCTTCAAAAGTTCAGTGCACTGAATGACACGACCATTGCCGTTTCCAGCTCCTGAGAAGGCAGGGCCCAGGGCCCCCATTGCGCAGGTCCTCAGCTCTTCTGGTGGTCAGCCAGGTAAACCTTCCTTCCCACCTCATCTCCTCAGTGGCATAAAGCCTACGCAGTATTACAAGAGTAAGTAATGGTGACAAGAAGATCATGCAGAGTATTGGGGTTCTCCTTGGAGAACTGAGTCTTCAGCCCGTGGACTGAAACCAGTCACAGCCACGTCTTGAGGCAGTAATTCTGGCAAACCAAATGTACAGTCATTAAAGACCCAAACATGATATAAGAGGCCACAAGTAAACAACGTCAGACAATATAAATGTGAAAGCCTCAGTGCTTTGTTAAACAAAGGCTCACTGTAAGAGGCTCCTGCAGCATGTGCAGGGATGGGTGCAGAGCACAGCTTTCCCTGCAATGCCATGCCCTCTCCCTGTGCTCTCCCCCTCAGCAGCACTTCCAAACACCAGGAACATTCTTGTTATGCAATTTTTTTCCACGCGAAACAGAAGAACGCTTTTCCCAAGTGCATTTCACTCTATGGGCAGTGGTAGCAATAGTTTCCCACATAGGAAACCCTTGTTGAGTTCCCTTTTAGCTAGAAATAAGAGCTGTAGGAGCTTTCTGTTCCAATAGAGGCAGCTGCCCCACCTGTGTGTGAATGCCACTCCTGGGAGCAATGCTGCTGCCCACAGCTGAAGAGGGGCTGGGGGCAATGATGAGGCCAGCCTGGGGGAAGCTGCTCTGCTTCTCTGGTAAAAGTGGCAAGAACCTAATGCAGGGCAGTAACTGTGCAAACAACTTTCCAGAGACGGCAGATGGCTGGTGCTTCCAGGGCCATTGGCTGCAATGGGTGCTGCTTCTTAGCAGCACCATAGCAGCTGCAGAAAGCACGGACTGTGCAAATGGCACTAGCATGGTGCTGGAGAAAATACAGCCCCCATAAATCACCTCAAGAGTGCTTGAGGTGCATCGCTGCATCCCTGGTTGGACTAGATGATTCTGGAGATCTTTCCAACCTCACTGATTCTGTGATTCTCCGATTTACTTAGAGATTTAATATTGATTTAATAAAAGAGAGCGTGTATGCCGTCCACTCAGCTGGTGGTTAGTCACTTGGTCAAAACACAGAGCCCAGAGGAGTTCCTGTCCAACCTGAAAAGCAAACCCAAATAGCTGCTCTCAGCAGCTCAGTGTGCTGTCACATTTCAAAGGAAAGATAAATTTATGATGGTCTTAGTATAGATGACCAGATACACCCACCAAGAGCTCCATAACTACACAGAACATAAGGGGCAATTTAATGCAGGTTTGTGTAGAGTATCATTTTCACCCCATGCACAGCAACAAGACCTGTGTAAAGGAAAGTGGTCTGAACTCCTTAGAATTTCTTTATTTATTGGATTTACTTATCTTGAACTATACTGCTTTATAAAGAGATACATATTACAGTCTTTTTGTTAACCCCAAGCATTCATTTAAATTTGTCTCCTACTACAATAATAGAAGTAACTATATGCTCTACCTGTTTATTGTTATTAATAAGGAAGGCACATTTTTGGTTGACTTGAGCTAGCAAACATTTCTACTTCATGAGATGTGCATTCTCCAGCCACGTTTATGATGGGAAGGATACTCCCTACATCAGTGTTCTCCATTCTCTGGCATTAACTAGTTTGTGGCTGGTCAAGGTTGAGAAAAATTAGTTTAACATGGGAAAGATTGCTTGAATTTTCATTACTCTTTCCTTCCTCTTGCTTTCCATTGCCATGGAAACAGTCCCTTCTTATTCCTAAAATCACTTGATTGTTGCATTTTCCATTAAGATGACTTACATATTTCTGGTGGTGGCAGTCACAGCCATACCTGTCGATTTGCAGGCTGCTTCCAACACTGGGACACAGAGTCCACAGTGCTTCTGCCCCCTTCCTGGGCTTTGCTCCCTCATTCGTCATTTCCTGCTAATCTCAAATGAAGATCTACCTGGCCTATCAGCTACAGACCCACAAGTCTTGTAAATGGAGGAAAAAGCACACACTTAAGCACACACTTAAGCACACACTTAAGCACACACTTAAGCACACACTTAAGCACACACTTAAGCACACACTTAAGCACGTTCTCAATACACAGATCTGGATAATGTGTTTCGGCAAACTGTAATGCTGCAGGTTTTGGGAAATATTTCCTCTAGAATTGTGAGGCCAGCTCAGCAGTGTGTGCAATGCTCATGACCCTCATGCGCTCTGACTGAGCACTGCAGATGAAGAATGAGTGCTCAGATAGTTGTGCACACCTTGTTTCACCTCCTCACAAAGGCAGCAATTTCCTCATCAAGCTTCTGATACAAACAGAACACAAATGTTTGAGAACAGTTCTGATTGCTGAATAAATGTTGGTAATTACATTATCAGTTCATTATCACAGTTTATATTAAAAATTCTCAGTAATTGAGATACACCTGTGCACATTTAAGACATTTCTGTCATGTTGAAGTTTTCTAAAGTATTGTAACAGTGAAGCTAGGATTGCCTTTTTATTTTCATTGTTTTTGTTTCTCAGGTGATGATTAATGTTCTTATTTATCATCACATTTGAGTCAGAATCTAAGCTGATTAATGTTGTTCTTTGTGCTTTAGCTCCCACTCACAATTCCCAGCTCCTAATGCTGATAAACCTGGGACTCAGCATTTACACACAGCTCTGCTTAGCCATGCTTAATAGCTGCAGCAATTAAAGTTGTTTTCACCGACTTTTCCTGGCTATTCAACTTTCAATGCAATTTTGGTATGGCAAAGTACTTAAATGTTCAGAAAAACAATCATCACAGAGTCACAGAATAGTAGGGGCCGGACAGGACTTGCGGAGATCATCCAGTCTGACCCCGCCAGGTAAGGACACACCTTCTGAGAAGTCAGACATGGTGTGCATCTCACAGTGTTATGTGCAGAGGTTACAGTCCTTAAGAAGCATCTACACAAGGCCATGTACTTAATGTGCCTTCAAAAGCAGAAATACAGAAAAAAGTAGGGAAGAGCCTTTTGAACAGCAGGGAAATGCTCCCCAAATTGAGTACATATGATGCATTTTCTGTTCTACAATGGTGGCAGACAAATATGCAAAACTGACGAAGCTTGGAATCAGCAGCAGTTCCCTGCCCCAATGGAAAGAAGCTGGGCTGAGCACTGCAGGGCTGTGATCTGGGCAGCCTTAAGCAGCACCTGTGCTGTGTGCCCACATGGCTGGGCCAGGCCCAGCCAACATCTACATTGCACTGCCATGGGATGGACCCAGCTGTGCTGCCACAGCTGCCCCTGCAGCCCAGCACACATCACCATACAGGATGCAACAGAGGAGACTGTGGGCAGCACTGGCTCCCAGGCCCGGGATGAGCGTGGCCAGCAGGTCGAGGGAGGTGATCCTCCCCCTCTAATCTGCCCTGGTAAGGCCTCATCTGGAGTACTGTGTCCAGTTCTGGGCTCCCTGGTACAAAAAAGACAGGGATCTCTTGGAAAGAGTCCAGCGGAGAGCCACAAAGATGGTGAAGGGCCTGGAGCGTCTCTCCTACGAAGAAAGGCTGAGTGAACTGGGTCTGTTCAGACTTGAGAAGAGAAGACTGACAGGGGACCTGATCCAGGTCTATATATATATCTAAGGTGTGACCCATGGCTGACCAGATTTTCTTCTGAAAAAGGCAAAAGTTTAACAGTGTGCATCAATAGACATTTTGCTGAAACCACGGGCAACTTGCACATAACTTTTATCTTTTAGTCTGTATTACAGAATCACAGAATCGTAGGGGTTGGAAGGAACCTCCAGAGATCGAGTCCAACCCCCCTGCCAAAGCAGGCTCCCTACATCAGGTTGCACAGGTAGGCGTCCAGGCGGGTCTTAAATATCTCCAGAAAAGGAGACTCCACCACCTCCCTGGGCAGCCTGTTCCAGTGCTCCGTCACCTCACCTAAAGAAGTTCTTGCGCACATTGGTGCGGAACTTCCTATGCTCCAGCTTCTGGCTGTTTCCCCTCATCCTGTCTCCACACACTGCTGAAAAGTCTGGCCTCGCCACTCTGCCCCCCACACCTTAGATATTTATAGACCTGGATCAGGTCCCTTATCAGTCTTCTCTTCTCAAGTCTGAACAGACCCAGTTCACTCAGCCTTTCTTCGTAGGAGAGACGCTCCAGGCCCTTCACCATCTTTGTGGCTCTCCGCTGGACTCTTTCCAAGAGATCCCTGTCTTTTTTGTACCAGGGAGCCCAGAACTGGACACAGTACTCCAGATGAGGCCTTACCAGGGCAGATTAGAGGGGGAGGATCATCTCCCTCAACCCACTGGCCACGCTTTTTAATGTGCCCCAGAATGCCACTGTCCTTTTTGGCCACAAGGGCACACTGCTGGCTCATGGCAACCTGTCATCCACCAGATCTCTCTCCAGCAGCTCATCTCCCAACCTGTACCAGTGCATGCAATTATTCCTCCCCAGATGCAAGACTCTACACTTGCCTTTGTTAAACCTCACCTGGTTTCTTTCTGCCCAGCTCTCCAGCCTGTCCAGGTCTCGCTGAATGGCAGCACAGCCTTCAGGCGTGTCAGCCAATCCTCCCAACTTCATATCATCAGCAAATTTGCTGAGGGTGGCCACTATCCCCTCATCAAGGTCATTGATGAAGATATTGAACAAAATCAGACCCAGCACCAACCCCTGAGGAACACCGCTGTTTACAGGTCTCCAACCAGATTCTGCACCGCCAATGACAACCCCCTGTGCTCTGCCAGCCAGTTCTCAACCCACCTCACTGTCCCACTCTCTCAACCCACTCATCTATCCACACTTCCTCAGCTTTGTTATAAGGATGTCGTGGGAGACAATATCAAATACCTTGCTGAAATCAAGGTAGACTACATCCACTGCTCTCCCCCCAGCCAGTGACATCAACATAGAAGGCTACCAGGTTGGTCAAGCAAGACTTCCCCCTGGTGAACCCATGCTGACTACTCCTGAGAACCTCCTTTTCTTCCAGAGAGAGCAGTTCAGCAATCACCTCTGCCAGCTCCCTCAGCACCCGTGGATGCACCCCATCGGGTCCCTTGGATTTATGAACATTGGTGTTGCCTAGGCACTCTCAGACTGCCTCTTCCTTGACTAAAGGGAAGTCTTCCATTCTCCAGACCCTCTCACTAACTTCTGGGGTCTGGGATTCCCAAGGGAGAGCTTTTTCACTGAAGACAGAAGGGAGAGCTTTTTCACTGAAGACAGAAGCAAAGAAGGCATTCAGTATCTCTGCCTTCTCAGCATCCCCTGTTACCAGAACACCCCCCCCTCACTTAGCAGGGGAACCACATTCTCCCTAGTCTTCCTTTTACTGTTAACATACTTTAAAAAGCCTTTTTATTATCCTCTATCACCTTTGCCAGATTCAATTCCAGGCAGGCTTTAGCCTTACTCATCGCATCCCCGCAAGCCCTGACAACATTTCTATAGTCTTTCCCAAGCAGTCAGACCCTTTTTCCACATTTCATAGACATTCTTCTTTCCTTTGAGTTTGTGCATGAGCTCCTTGCTCATCCATGCAGGTCTCCTGCCAACCTTTCCTGATTTCTTGCTCCCAGGGACACATTGATCCTGATCTTGGAAGAGCTGTTTAAATGCCAACCAGCTCTCACAGGCCCCCTTACCCCTTCTAACACCCTAGCCCACAGGATAGCTCCAAGTAGGTCCCAGAAGAGATCAAACTTGGCTCTCCTGAAGTCCAGGATAGCAATCCTACTTTTCACTTTGCTCCTTCCACTCAAGATCTTGAAATCCACCATCTCGTGGTCACTACAATCAAAGCTGCCCCTGACCTTTACTTCCTTATTAGTGAGAAGAAGGTCCAGCAACACCCCTCCCCTCATCGGTTCCTCCACCACCTGCATCAGAAAGGTGTCTTCAACACATTGCAGGAACCATCTGGATTGCACATGCCTGGCCATGTTGCTTATCCAGCAAATATCTGGATAATTGAAGTCCCCCATAAGCACCAGCACCTGGGATCATGATGCTACTTCCAGTTGCTTATGGAAGGCCTCATCAACCTCCTCCTCCTCCTCATCAGGGGGCCTGCATACACCCCCACAACAGTGTCAGCCATACCAGCCCTCCCCTTAATTCTCAGCCACAAGCTCTCCACTGCTACACCACTGTCCCCCAGGTGGAGTTCAATACACTGTAGCTGCTCTATCACATAAGGAGCAACTCCACCACCCCGCCTCGCCAGCCAATCTTTCCTAAAAAGCACATAGCCCTCCATGACAACATTCCAGTCATGCAAGCTGTCCCACCACATCTCTGTGATTGCAATGAGATCGTAGCCAAGTGACCACTCACAGATCTTCAACTCTTCCTGTTTATTTCCCATACTGCACACATTAGTCTACAGACACTTTAGGGAAGCAGAATCACCCTGCCACTCTCCATCCCTTCGAATTCCACCTTCATCACCCATCAAGCACTGTTTTGAGCCTTGAACTACCCGCTCAAGCCCAGCAGCCCTCATTTTGTCCCCTTCCCCCTTCTTACCTAGTTTAAACACCTTTCAATGAGTCACGCCAGTTCCTGGGCTAGGATCCCTTTACCCCTTGCAGGCAGGTGCGTTCCATCTGCAGCCATCATGCCAGGAGCCAAGTACATTGCCAAGTAAATGGTCAAAGAAACCAAAATTCTTGCGCCTACACCAACCCCTAAGCCATTTATTTATGAGGAGGGTTTTTTTGATCCTCTCAGTGTCCTTCCCCACCTCTGAATGGATTGAAGAGAAAACCACCTGCATGCCCGCTCCATCAAGTACCCTCCCTTGAAGTCATTTTTTGATAGCCCTCAGGCTTCTCTCAGCAGCATCATCACTGCCAACCTGAACTACCAATAAGGGACAGTTATCAGATGGGTGAATAAGCCCAGCAAGCTTTCTAGATATCCCTGACCGGTGCCCTAGGGAGGCAGCACACTTCCCTCCAGGTGGGGTCAGACCAACATATTGGGCCCTCAGTGCCCTTTAGAAGGAAGTCACCTATGACTATCACCCTCCTTTCTTTACTGGAGGAGGTAGTCTTCAAGCGTGGAGCAGACCGCCTCTCCTTAGAAAAGCTTGGAGGCTGCCCCTCCACCTCACTGTCAGCCACCTCACCCTCCAGTTTCAGGGCATCAAATCTATTACTTAGAAGCACCTGAGGAACCAAGGTAGGTTGGGATGGGCAACACCTGCATCGCTGAGGTGGGACCTGCTGCCATTCCTCCTCTCTTCTCCAGTCAGCTCTCTCAGGTTGACCACAGCAAGGGAGAGGGACCGCCACAGTTTGGGGGTTACAGTCTCTGCTTCTTTCTCACAGAGTCACACCAGTCTATCTCCCTCTCACACTCTCTGATGGTTCTTAATCTCTCTACCTCCTCCCTAAGCTCCACCAGCAGGCTGAGCAGCTCATCCACCTGCTCATACCTCACACAGGTGTTGTCCTTCCCATCCTCCCCTGGCAGCAGCAGGCTCAGGCACTCCCTGCAGCCAGAGACCTGAACTGCCACATTTCTGGGCAGGCCCTCCATCTGGGTCACCACAGTCATCTTGGAGCAAGCCCGCCATCTGGTAGAGACCATGTTTGAACCTGCAGTCTCCGGGTCAGACAGTAGGAGAGCAGTCTCCTCAGCAAAGACAAGGACACACACGTATCCCAACAAGACCCACCTCGCACACCTACTGCTGCAGTAATAGGTAGTGCAGGCTGCGTTCACACTCTGCCTTCCCTTCCTTTTTATAGTGGGCAGTAACACCCTTTTCTCACCAGACACATTAGGTGCCTCCCACAGATTGCTTTTAGCCTTGCAGAAAGAGAGTCAAGGTTAATCACAGAGATAAGAGTGAGCTGTGCCAGCTCCACCCCTGGTGTCTCAGCAGCCCACCCACAAGCTGCCAGCCCCCAGCACCAGCACACTGCTTTTGCTAGCTCAAAAAGAGCCCTAAAAAGAGCTTTTTAGTCAGCGTTTTTGCTTTAGGTCCCTTCCCCAGCACAGTCTTACCTGCTCTGGAGCTGGTCTCTGCAGCAATAAAGTATTTCTGTGTGAGTACTGTCCAGGATAAAGAAGTTCATTAATACACCAAACAGAGTATGCAGAGAAATGCTATTAAGAAGGGGGTCTTTAAAAGCAGTACCTTAGGACAGCCTTTGCTTTTGAGTCTGCTGGGATGATCACAGGTGGCATTGTTCAGTCTGTGCTCTGATGCGTGCCACACCAATGACCACACTGTCACATTCAGGGGCTGTTGTGTGACCAGCAGTGTCAGTAATTTGTTCATATCCTCATCAGGTCAGTTTATGGAGGGCCACTGACTTTGGCTCTGTCTCTGGCAGGCACTTAGCAGGAGGGCTCCTGGAGACCCTGCTGAGCTGAGGGTGATGTGTTCCACCACAACTAGGCAGGTGTAAAAGCAGGAACAAAATGAAGATTAAATCCATTCCTCATGAAACAGAAGTTCCAGGGGAAAACAGAAGTCTAAGCTTGCAACTGGATGAGCCTCCCTACTCAGGATGTAGCCCCTATATGACAGTTTAACATTAGAAACAGCACCAGCTCATGCCTGAGCACATTTAATTTCCTAGCTGTATTCCTATAGATATCTGCCAGTCCTGCAGAAATAGAGGGGAAAAAAAGAATCAGAAGGCAGAGAATGAGCAGTAATACACATGCATGCTACAGTTTCAAGATGGGATATCCTTCTAAGTTCTTATTCTAGCAGAAAGTTTATTCCTATGTTTACACAGCTTGAGCATAGGGCTAGCACAGGACTGATAGCCCTATTATAATCATCCCAGACTTTCCAGTGTGGATGCCAGACAATGAAGAGGCCTTGCAATGCAGATGTATTCACTCATTTCTCTCAGTAATATCACTAACCTCATTTACCATATAATTCTTGTCAAATGGGTGATTTAAAGCAGAAGGCAAATGCAAAGCAATATAATGAATTAAACTTTGTTAGTATAACTTAGAGATTTTCATTCTGTTTCAAAAGTCGGAGTCGATTTTTAAAATCTGGAAGTTGAAAAACATGAAAGTAGAGTGATAAATCTAGTAAAGACCCTACAAATCTGTCTCACATGCTGTCACACAGGAATGGTGACATCATGTGTGTGCATTTAGGTATTCTAAGAGTTACAATTCCCTCTCCTCCAATAGATATGTTTATACGAACTTATCACAGAATCACTGAATTGTAGATGTCAGAAATACCTCTGAAATTCCCTCAGTCCCACCTCCCAAAGCAGTTCCCTACAGCAGCTGCACACAAAACAGAGCATGCAGGTGGGTTTGGATCTGCACAGAGAAGGAGGCTCCTCCACCTCTCTGGACTCGGTGCCAGGGCTCTGCCACCCTCACAGCACAGAGTTCTTCCTCATATCCATACGGAACCCCTTAGGCTCCAGTCTGTGCCCAGAGCCCCTTGTCCTGGTGCTGGGCACCAAGGAGTAGAGCCCAGCCCCATCCTCCTGACCCACCCTACAGATATCCACCAGCACTGCTCAGATCCCCTCAGCTTTCTCTCCTCTACATGCACAGCCCATAGGCTCTAAGCCTGTCCCATAGGGGAGTGCTCCAGGTGTTCCTGCCATCTGCATACCCTCCTCTGATCTCTCTTATTAGTTTCATCTGACTAGAACAGTGCTGCAGATGTGCCTGGCCCAGGGCAGAGCAAGTGGGAGCAGAACCTCCCTTGCTTACCCTGCTAGACACAGATAGAAACTTGATCTTATCCACCACAGACAACAACATCTACCCTCCCAAGTATCTTCCCATTACCCTACTAAAATACTTCTTGCTACAATTTCTTCACTGCAAAATGTATAAATGTCATGGCTTCATATATGATCAATAAGCACATAGATGGTAAAAATTAAGAAATATACAGGAAAATTAAACTGTTAGGCTAAACAGGTTATCAAAGAACAGATGGAAAGCTTACCCTTGCCCCAGGCTTGCAGAGAAGACCCCAAGAGAAGCAATCTCCAACAGAGACCCTTCCCCCTGGCAGTCAGCTCTTAAATGGGTCTAGGAGAGGTGCAGCCAGGCTCCACCCCTTCCAGCAGCACAGGAGAATTGCCTTCACCTGTGCTCCCAGGGCTGACTCATTGCTCGCCTCAGGTGGTCAATCAGAGGTTCAGGCCGTGACTCAGCAGTTCCCATACAATTTGGCAGTCAAGAAACATAAATGGTTTGCATTGATCATACAGATTTTGTGCTCATTGTACCCACTGGTTCTCAGACTCAGTGATGGATGGAGCTGCTGCCCGCCTGCCCGGCCGAAGAGCAAAGCAGGGATGTTGTGTGGCTGCACAGAGCATGGCTGAGCCCGGCTGACAAACAGGGAGATAGAAACCTTTTACGTGTGATATGTTGCACAATAAGGTTGGGTATCATTTCTCCACTTTAGTAAACATTATAAACATTTATACACATTTTTCAGAATGCTTTGTTTCTCTTGGTGTTATAAATGCAAGCTCTTGCTTGCATTTTAACTTGGCCTGTCCTAAGGTGCTTATTATTTCAAGTAGTTTGGATTTCATGTAGACTTTCTTTATCACAGATGTTAATGCTTACTTTTTTTAAAATTAATTCACATTCTTTTTTCCTAATTGTTGAATTCTTCTCTGATGTTTTCCCTTATTTTATGCATTTATAAAATACGTCCCATACAACTACTTGCTACTTTTGGTATGCAGTACACATCTGTTGCCATGGCAGCACAATCAAGTCATCCTAAACTCACTCCAATTTAAAAATCTTTCATAGTGTCTCATAGGCACGATTAACTGTACGTGGAAACCTTGTCGGTGTTCTTTTAGTACAGATTTCTTCAAAGAAAGTAAAGAGACAACAAACAGTTGTCTATTGTTCCACTGTCAAAGCACTGTTATTATTTCCCACATGAAACCAAATGCAGCTCGGCATTAACTTGCTGCTTTTGCAACTCAAACTACTAGTGGACAATGTGGATCTCTGTTACAGAAACAGAGCAAAACAGAACACTTTTGGAAAGCTAAGCAGCATCCAGTGCTCTCAGAGTGTGCTTGGAATTCCGCGTGCTTTGGAGAAATGGGAGAGGAGAGACTGCAAATGATGTCAGATATATCTGCAGTTTCAAAGAGCAAATTGTCTCCTCAGGGACCTGCTGCAGGCAGATCTCACAGGGCTCCCTTTGTACTGGAAACTTCTTGAACCATGGGCTGAAAAAGCTGAAGATCTCTCATCCAATACTTTTGTTTGCCACCAGATATGTGAAAAAGACACACACACTCTAAGTGGTTACTGCCTTGAATGTTTGTTATTTAAAAGTAAACCAGGCCAACCAACCAGCAAAAAAACCCAACCAAACAAATGAAAAAGAAACCCAACAACCAGAAAACAAGAAATGTTCATACCCCAATGTTTTTGTTAAGCTCAATGCTCAAAACAAGCAGAGGGAAGAGCTCCACAGTGGGGAGGCCATACCTGGAGTAGTGTGCTTATGTCCTCTGCTCCCCAGTATGAGAGACAGAGCTGCTGCAAACAGTCCACTGCAGGGTCACCAAAAAGATGCAGGGGTTGGAACAACTCTGCTATCAGGAGAGGCTGAGGGAGGTAGGGGTGTCCAGCTAGAGAAGGGGAGGACAGCACTATAGATTTTGGAAAGCACCATATCAGCTTTAATGGAGTGAACCAGTTCCAGAAGCTCTGTACTGCTAAATAGCCCCCTTGACTCCTGTAGCTTAGCACAAAAAACAAACAACGTATGGAGCTGTTTAAACGTTGAGGCCAATGCATCCCATTCCTATGGGAGGCTATGATATGTGGAGGAACTCAGTACAACGGAGTACCTTTGGAAAAGCACGTATAAAACATTAATTGCATCAATCAACAAAGTGTATGAATGAATAACTTCTCAAATCCATTTAGCACATCTCTTACTTCTATCACTTGTTTTTAATTCTCTTTATAATACCAACAGAAAATTAGGAGAGCACTTTTTCAGCAGTCTGTTTACTAGAAAAAGAAAATACTTCACTTAAAGCCTTTGCAGCTCCATCTTATCCATTCCTTTCTGAAGGATTTGATCATGAATTATACATTCCAGCACAACATGAAATATTTAACTCATGCTCTTCAATTCCTTTTCAACTTCCCAAACAAAGAAATGAGTTTGAGCACAGGAAAATTTGAGTATACAGCTGTGAATCCACTAATGTCTGCAGTAGCTTTCCCCTGTTTAGTGTCCAGATCAGTAGGACAGGAGCGTCAGAAGACTTCAGGTTGTCAGCACTGCTCTGTGTGCTTTTCAGTTAATTACAGGAGAATCCTGGCTGAAGCAGATGGATTGTGCAAATATGAATTTAGGCTTGATGCTCTGAAAATATGCCTGCAGATTTCGAAAGGCTTGGAGGAAAATATGTGAGGAAAAAGGAGCGTAATGATTGTTATTAACACAATGGAGCTATTCTCTTGTTTCAGAATTTCTTCATGCAAGCAGGAAGGTCACAGCACTGTAACAGGACAGCAAGCAGTCAGGGAGGTTACACTCTCAGTGTCCTGGATTCCTTGCCCATAGTGTGCTGCTACAATGCTGGTTGCTCCCTAGTACTGTGCTGAAGAGGTCTGACGTGAAGCAGAGATGATTCAGGTCTGGAGTGTAATTCAGTTTAATTTTAATATGTGCATATGATTACAACTGGATAGGAATAGAAATTAGAAAGTAATTCTGACTTTGTTTCCAGATAGACGAAGGTGGATACTGTGTGTCTACACAAAATATCATTAGCTATGGTTGTCCAAAAGGTGCCACAGTTATTGACCAGTTGGCATTGCCTTTGAGAAAAAGAACAGAGTAAGCCATGAAAGTAAACACCTCAATTTTTCAGCTAACGGAATAACATTATTTTTTGTTACATAAAAATTGAATATAAAATAATTTGGGGATTATCTGTGCCTATGGGAAGTAAAATTTAAGCCTTAGAACAAAATGAAAGGTTATCTGAACCATAGTCTGGAATTTGTAATTACATAACAAATCTTGTTTAGAAGTTGAAGAGCGTTCCCTAAGATTTGTGGTGGAGGAATGAATGACATTAGTTGTGCCATCTTCTCACAGCCAGAGCACTCCGTGCTGATCTAAACCTGCTTCCTGCTGCTCATGTTGTGACACTGAACTGCTGGATCCTGTGATCCTGTCTGACTGGATCAGGCACTGCACCTGCTCTGATCCTACCCCAGTTTAGGGGACCTGGGCTTCCCTTCTGCAAGGGCACGGGGTGGGGTGAGTGCCCACCACTTCCATGGGTTGACCACCCCATGCAGGGGGAGCTCTAGCTGCTTGGAAGGGCTGGCTCTACTTGGTGTCTACTTATGGCTCACAAACAGCTCCCAAAGATCTTCACATAACTTTATACGAACATCTTACTCTGACCCCTAAATTCCCTGAATCAAAAACAAACAAACAAACAAACAAACAAAAACTTTCTAAATATGTTAAGATTTGTAAAGTAAAACTCTTCTGATAACTCTGCGTTGCATATGTGTGGAGGAGGATGGCTTATTTCCAGATCCCTGCTATCTGTGGGTTGGGTGCTTCCAAAGTGTGTCAGTGTGGGGCTTTCTGGAGAATGTAGTTTACTTCGTATCTAAAGAACAGGGATGAATATGCTGATAGACTTCTTAAGTAAAGACATAAAAGAGAAAAATAAACATATGCAAGGAAAGGTGAGGAAAAGCAATGACTTGTCGTCAAAGGGTTATTATATAATTTATGCTCACTCAGTACAAATGAATTGGGCTTTTAAAAATGCTTAATAATTAACATATCATTGTTTATGGCACTAATGCATTAATTTTCTATCTTAAGTAGTATGCTACATAGATGTATAAATACAACTATGAATTACATGTTATACATCTATGAATATAAATTAAATAGATGCTACAAAAAAGTAGAAACTAAGATCAGACCCAAGGAGATAGAAAGGTCTTTCCTACCTCATTTGTTTATAGATAAATGAAAAGCTGAAGGCTTGAAGTGACAGAGCAATCATTTTTCTTTTTTTTCCTTTTCACCCTGGCACAGAAATATTAACTGATCAAAGACTAATGTGAAGAAAAGTAAAGCTGAATAAAGGCACACCAAGCATTTAATTCAATAAGGATTTTAAAATCAAATGATCAATGTAATGCTTTGAGAAAAGAACTATTACTGTTCTAAAGCTCAGTTCTTCAATTAATCATTTTTGTATAATGTTCTGTATAATCTTGTATAGCATTTTTCCCTGATGTGGTGGTGCTGGCTGCGCTCTGTCGTTGCTGTCACTCTGGCAGCTGACCTGGTGTCTTCCTCTGGGTGTTTCCCTTCCCTACCCCTGGCTCAGCACTGGCTCTGGAGCTGCTGGCCCTGCCTTGAGCAGGACCTGGCACTTTCTGGGGCCAGGGTGGGCTGTACCAGCACCCACTATGCAATTTCCATGTTGAACTAATCCCTCGTCCCAAGAGAAGCTCCTTTCTTTGCCCAGGCCTGCAATAAGTAGCTGCGGTGGATCACACACTATGCACACATACACTCATCTACCCTGGAAATGCAGCATTTGTCCTAGAGCTTTTCCTGAAATACAGCAGTAGCAGAAATGCTGTCACAGCCCGAAGCAGTGATGGAGCACCTGGTGGGAAGGCAGGACCAGCCAGGGGAGTTCAGGTGCATGCAATGTACCTGAATGATGGAAGGGGTGGAGCCAGGATCCTCCCCTTCCCAGACCTCATTTAAGGTTGGCTTTGGCAGCAAAGGGATTTTGATGGAGATTCCTACTTGCCTGAAGTCTTCTAAAGGTAAGCAGCTCTTTTTTTTCAGTTCTGTGGCTGTTGGATTTGGTCTTGTTCTCATCTGCTGTAGCATAAGACTTTGCCACCCTACTGTTATTGTGGTACTTTCCATCCTGCTGTAGCATTATGTCGGCTCTCTCTGCTATTCTGATGAGGTGGCCTTGTCTTTCTCTTGATTCAAGTAATGAATGTTTCTTGGCTTAATGAAGGAGGACAGGTAGTACTAGACTAGGTATTTAGTGCATGGTTTTGCTGTTCCCAGCAGCTTTATAGTCCAGCACTTTCCTTAGTAAAACTGCAGTGATTTTGCACTAGGAAGGTCAGTGTATTTAGCCTGCTGCTGCATTGCTGTCCACCCTGGCTGTGTGGTGGCAGAAAGTTTTGTTGTGGATTGTCTCTATCTAATGCTGTAGAAGACAAAATGATTTTGTTTGTTCCTTCCCCCTCAGTGTAGGGCAAGTCTGTGTTTGTTACATGACTGCTGCAGTGCTCAGCAAGAAGCTTTCATGGACAAAAGGCTATGGTAGAACACCTGAAGCTCTAATTAAGGTACAGCTGTGTTCACTTAAGAGCCAGATCTACTGCTTAAGTTCCCTCAGTGCTGGGGCTACTTTTAACTGATAGGTGGATGTGTTGGGGGGTGGTGCTGGATGTTACAGGTGAGAGTTCAGCAGGAAGTAGTATGAAAATAATGGTGGACTGAAACTGTAGTTTTTAATAAGAAAATGTTTTTTTAAATTCCTTAAAGGATCACTGTAGACAACAGAGCACAAGAATATAATATACCAATAAGAAGATGAAAGTAATTATGACATAAGAAAGTAAGCTTTTGAAATGCAAAAATGTAAATATTCTACAGCTGATTATTTTCTTATTTTTATGCAGAGAGTTCCTTTATTCAGTCCCACCTGTTCAATGAGCTGTCAGCAAGACCAGGTTTCTTGTGAGTTAACAGAGCTGCAGCAAAGCAACAGTAGTTGCATGGCTGCCCCAGCTCATTCTGCACTTGGAAGTCCTGCTGAATTTTCTCAGGTGGAAGAATTGTTGTGGGTTGTGTTAAGGATCTCAGTGAAGGAGTTGAATTTGTTTTTCTTCCTTTCTTTTCTTAACCTGTAATTCTAAAACTGCGTGTTACAGATGGTCCTCTACTGAATTAATCCTGTCCTTATATAATGCTTATTAGATTTTCTATTAGCTTTCTGGAATTGCTCTAACCTTATTCTTCTAGTCCAGTGTATAAATCATATATTCCCACAAATGTGTGTTGATAAGCAGTGCTTCTGCAGGTATTTCCAGAGGTAACTGCAAGCAGCTCTCACAAAATCAATATTGACCACTTGAAATGTTATTTGCTGCAGCATTTTGTGGGCAGCATGCTCTGCAGTTTCATTAAATTAATAAGTATTTGTAGTTAGTTCATGGGGACAAGAAAAGTAGGAAGGGAAGCCCTTAAAATAGCATCTGCATTTATGGAGCTGAGCCAAAAAAAAAGTAACACAAGCAATATTGGAAGATGATTCAAAAACACAATTTCTAAGCAATCAGCTTGTTTTGTTTATAATACAAATGTATTAGGCATAATTCTCTCTTTGATAAAAGCAACACTATCATAAGTTTTCTGGTGAGTTTATAAGTCAAATGTGGAAAACATATCTTCTACTGAAAATAATATATAATGAAGTGCTGATGGATTTTTGTTTAGCAATACTTTGAGATTTAGAATACTTTGGCAGTGAGTTTAATTACATGACAGGCAACTGATGCCTGTGAAAGTCTCTGTCTTTCTGGATCTCTCTCAGGACAGGAGGGCAGATGTAGGTCTTGGAGGTCTTGCATGGTTTTACTCCGAATCTGCTGGGATGGTGCTTTTGCAGATGGCCACTGGTCAGGTGTGTTTGCTTTTCATGTGCTTGCTCTTGCAGTGCCCATTAATCTGGCTGATTGAGCTGCAGGTGTTCCTGCTCACTTTAGAGGAGTTGGACCAGATGGACTTTAAAGGTCCATTCCAACTCAGATGATTTGTGATCTGCCTAAATTGGGATTCCATCTGAGTAATGCCCAGGATCCTGAACCTGAGGTACACTTGAGAATTTTCATTGAAATCCCAGCTGGTTATTTCTTGCTCAGCGAGGTCTCTTGGTATGTTCTACTTTTCCTTTGGAGTCAGGAAGACTGAAGGAGCAAGCTCTTACCTTACCTTTTATGGACCTTCCCATTTCTCTTCAGGAGGCCCAGGAGGTTACAGTTAATGAAGAAAGTGACAGTAAAACTTCCTCATACTATTTCTGAACTAAATTTTGTGCAACAGTTGGCTTTGCTTGACCTCTGTCTTCCTAACTTTAGATGTATTAAGGATGTGTCTGTTTGCATCTGCTTTTCAGCACATTTGTTTGGCTGGCTGTCAATACACTGCTGTTTAGTTGGCTTGGAAGGCATAAATTACACATTTTGCCAGAAATAACATCTAAGGAAATAGAGTAGATGTTGGATTTCTAGAGTACTGGCAATAAAATTTCAGGCATCATCTATCTGACACCTGAAAATGGGTATGTACTCATAATTTGAGAAATGTCATTAATCTGCTGTGCTCACAGGCAGTGGATTTTTGTGGGTGCAGTGCAGCACATCCTCATGTGCCATCTGTTTCTCAGAACAGGTTTACGATAAAGTGAGATGAAGTAATTCTGGTGTGGAGTTTCACATACAGATGCTCTCAGAGGCAGCTGGGTAAAGGAGGAGTCTCCTTTCAGTGATGAATTGGTTACATTCATCTTAGCAGACATTCTGTCATTTATGTGCAGAAGGGGGTGGGGGATCATGGACTTCAGTCTACAGATATGCTACTCAGGCAGCGAGTTTCTATTTGAATGTAGAGGATATCAAGCCAGGCCTTGTTTTGAGTTATGCTGGGAAGAGGAGAATGGGATAATGGCTGATGTTGCGAGTGTGGCGTTCTCTGGGAACCTGTGCAGACACTTTCCGGGAAAAGCTGGAAATCAAATGTAGCATCTCAC